AAAGCAGCAGCAGCCCATCCACCAGAAACAGAGGTAAGTGCTGCCAGTTCCTTGGAGCTGCTGCGGGACCGGGTCCTTGCCCCCAAAAGGCCAGGAAGGAGCTTGTGACTTAGCTTTGCTTGGGAGCAAAGGGAGCCCATTGGGACCGTTCAAACCCAAGTGTCACTGAAGGACTGAAGCACATAGCTGTGCTGTGAAAGAAGGGGACTGCAAGTTCCTGGTTAGTCTGAGTATATTGTTTTTCTACGTCCCTGTAACTCCCAACAGTTTTAGGACCACAGCTATGGAGTTATTTGTGCCTGATCAGTAAGGGACTTGAGGGCTTGTGTTGGTTTGTGTTTTTTTTGTGCAGTAGTGTTAAACACTGGCATGGTTAGTCTTGTATCTGGGTAATTTTGAGTAAAAACACAATGAGCAAAGGAATTTGGAATTGTCTCTTGGAAGTGTCGACGCTGCTGGTTCTCGCTGGAGTGGAGAAGGAGTGGAAGGATTTATTTCTTCAGTTCCCAAACAGAAAGCAAACGGGGAAAGTCAACTCAAGTCAATAGGAAACTGAGAGTTTGCACCCTGGCTTCCACTCCCAACTCTAGTTCTCATTTTCTTTTTTTTTCTTTTTTTTTTTCTTTTTTTTTCTTTTTTGGTGTCACCTCGGGCAAATTTCTTAACCCCTTCAATCCTGTCTCAGGGAATGTTTTTTCAATTGGAGACTCGACTCTCATTTGCACCTGAGTAGGTAATGGAAATGGCCAGCCCTCAAACTGCTGGCCTTGAATTTGCCTCAACAATTGCTACTCTCGACAGTTTTTGTTTTCCAGATGTTACCAGTTGTTTATCAGAAGTTAGTTTTGCATTAAGGTTTCAAACCACCCTTAGTGTAGCCCAGAGTGGGTTTGCCTTGCTCACAATCAGAGCACGCTCAGCAGTGCTGCTTCAAATCTTTTGATCACTCATGATAGCAAAGCTGGCCAAACTTTAATACTTAAGTGTAGAACTACAAAGATTTATTGGTGGGTTATGTTTTATAAACATGTTAGTTATGAGCAGCATATGTTGAAGGACAAAGGCTGAAAGCCTTAAAGGTTGATAACTGTCTTCTGTAGCCAGTCTGCTGCATTGCATACTAACGACTGCTTAAGCATTTATTTTATTTAAGTAGCTGTAAATATTTTCAAACTATGCATAAACGAGGAATATAACCTCATATATTACGTGATCAATGCATATGACTTTTTAAATAAGAAGCGCTATACAGCACAGTGACTCTTTAGTGTCCCTGGCTTTCACAGTGTGACTGCGTTGCAGGTTGTGCGTGCGTGCGTGCGTGTGTCTGTCCAGGTCTGCGTGTAACTACCAAGCCATGCTCTAAATGTAGGTATAGACCAGCACAGAAGATGGATGGCACGGCAGAGAGTGGATCCAACAGTAGCCTGCACACTACTCCTGAACAATCAGTTGCTGCTCAAAGTCAACATCATCAGCAGTTCATAGGTGAGGAAACTGTTTTAATGTATTAGATAGCTCGCTTCGAGGCTCCCACTTTAAGGGGAAGGAAGACTCTCTCCAGTGACTTCCAAGGACCAAGGAGAAACACAAGCCTGGGACATACAGCAGGAGCAGTCATTTATCAGTTACCTTTCCAGGCATTTGGAGTGCGTTTCAGCAAGCTTTTAAAAGCCTTTTTCCCTTGTCCATCCCATCCATCAGTTCCCTCTAAGCATGTTTCTAATCAGGCCAAGTTTTACCAAATTGAATGGATGGAGTAGAGGTCTCAAAGCCTTGAAGTCCTGAAGAATGTTGTTAAAATAGGCAGCTTTAGAGAGGCAAGCAACTCTTCATTGCGCCTACAGGAGAAAAGGCTGCAAGGTTTATTACGCTTCCACAGATGCATATGGGCCCACACCTTGTGAGATAAATTCCCTAGTTTCGCTGGTCGTGGACCTGCTTGTTTCCAGAGTGTCTAATAGTGACACAAAAACCTGGCCAGCTCCGAGCAGTCTCTGAAACACAATTGCTCCTGATATGTCTGCTAGCCAATTAATTTCTCCATTGTACTCTCAAAATACCGAAGGGATGTTATTCAGGCTTCAGAGAAAACCTAATGGGCAGCACATTAGACGAGGACAATGTATTCCTGTTTCTTTTCTTGCAAAGAGAAAAGCATTCTTCTTGCACACAGAATAAATGGGGCTGCTGCGGTGGTTCACTTCTTGCCCAGTATAAAAGGATGAATCAGGGAGGTACTGGATTATCAGTTTCGTTTCACCTGTTTCATCACCAGTTATTTGAAATGTGAAATATAGCCGCCAGCCACTGCAACATCTTGTACTCGTTTATAGGCTTGTGTAACTGAGTGTTCCTAACCTTCACTGTCTTTCCCAATCTTTCTTTTTCTTAGACGTAACCCATGTCTTTCCGGAGTTCCCAGCCCCTGATCTAGGTAATGTCCTCTTGCAAGAAGGGGTCACTATGAACGATGTCAAAACCCTGCAGCTTCTTTACAGACGGCACTGTGAGGTGATTATTTTGAATATATTTCATTCATTAATTGGTATGAGGCGTAAATCAGGTGCCCTTCTCCCACATCCTGCTCCCAGGAGCTGCTGGGGTGTAAATGGGAATGTTTGATTTGTTCCCTATTACAAGTGTTGCACTATTGCACTGTTATTTTTTTTCATCGTGTGACCTCTTTTATATTAGGTTGATTATTAGAACAGTGCTCTTTCAGTTGTATTTTCTAGTAAATTACTTAACCTAAATGGCAGAGCATGAAATTTATACTCAGACAGTGTGAAAAAGACACTAACAGCAGCTAATGAGTTGTGTTCTTTATCATCAGGCAACTTTGGATGTTGTAATGAACCTTCAGTTTCATTATATTGAGAAACTATGGCAATCCTTCTGGAGTCCTAAAACACCATCTAGTGATGGCTCTACTACCCTGCCATCCAGGTACTCTGTGTGCTTTGATTATTTCTGAATGATCCATTTTTAGTGGTGCTTTATCTTTTAGAAATGAACAGGTTTTAGCTTCATTAGCCCGTTTTAACTGCTTTGTAGGACTTGGAAATATTTACTTCCCTGCAGAATCATTATAAGGAGTCTCAGGTCAAATCCTGTAATGACCGCACAAAGCACAGACCTCAGAGGAAAGCGTCTGCTCAGATGGTTTTATTATTTGTCTATGTGACATGCCTGTTACCTGCTGTAAAAAATACTAATCCAAACTACAGAGAGCGTTTGGATGAATGAGAATGGGTTGCTACTTTTGCAAACGGCCAAGAGGAACAGCAAGTTACAATTCGTGCCATATATAGAATGACATCTCAGAAGTTAAGGTTTTTAGTAACATCTAGACTCGCTCTCTTATTTGGGTCGCTATCGCAGTTTTTAAGTGCCACGTGTCTTGAGGAAGATAATGACAAACTAAACTACTCTGATCCCAGCTTTGTAGTCTTGTCTGGCTCATTGTTATTGCCTATTCTTCCTCCTTTATGCCTTGGTAGTCTGCTGCCAGGAGACAGGGAAATGGAAATAAGTGAAAATAAAGAAAATGGAAAAGGCGAAGGCTTCTTGTTAAAAATTTGTATTGAAAGTCTATATTGTCCACTTCCACTGATTATATACAGGCTTCAGATACTGCTGGCTTGTATTCAGAAGAAAAACAGTAAAAGTTTGGATAATAAGGAAATATCTAATAATCTGTAGAATATGGCCCTGTTGTCCTCTGCAGACATTATCTAATGGCTATTTTGCTGCAGAGAAACACTGTAGCTGTTTGATGGTTTCAAAACCTCTCTTACTTAAGGGTATATCTACAGGGCATGTTGCAACACCTTGGAGAGAGCTGGGCTAGATATGAATAGACTCGCTCGGATACTGGAGGCAGCATTTCTGCAGCGTTCTGTCCAGACTAACGTCTCTTGCTTAGGGTGTGCGCTCTAGCACCTCTCCGTAGTCCTGCTACTAATCAAGATTCATTAAATAAAACTTTCCCCTCCCCTTTATATATACAAATGTCAAAACAAAGTATTGTCAGAGCCTCAAACTACTTGAAAGCATTAGAAAATGCAGAATATGGTTCTGTTTAAAACAGGGTTCAGGTACTTGATGGCCAGTTTTTACGTATGAGTGTTTTAAGAATGTGCCAGGAGAGTGCATTTACTGAAACAGTGCCAACAGGGAAGAAATAATACAAATACCTTTTTATTGTAAGTCAAACACCTTAGCTCTAATGGTTTTGATGTAATGCAATGGGGAAGGTCCCCTGCTACCTCCCAGTTCCCAGTGTAGCGTCATAATATTTCTGATTTGGTGCTATGGCAGTGCATTAAGGCTATGGTTTTCTCTGCTTGCTATTTAACCAAATATTGTATGCCTTAATCATGCAAAAAAAGTTTCCATACATCTATAAAGTGCTCGAAATGAATGCAGGCTCGATTGACCTCATTCAGTTGGAGACAATACGCTCTGTTCTCATCGCAACACCAAATCAGCTTTTTCCTTACAAAAAACCATTCAGTGTTTGAATGTGCCAAACATGCCTCGAAGCTGTTTGCAGTATTTGTCAATACTGGTTCATCTGCTCAAACAGCATTTGCTCCAAAAATGTGTCAGCACTGTCACAGTCGAGGAAGGCTAGAGCAGAGGAGAGAGGTGAGAAGGTTTTGGCTCTGTCAGGAGGAACCAGCTAGGCTTTTGCTTGCTGAGATGGCCGTGCTGAAGTACAGTTCCTGTATAAAAAGGAGCGTGTGTGCGTGCAGGTATGTGAGAGACGACTTGGGCTAAAGAAGGAAGAAGCAAAGGAAGTCTGGCCAAGCATAGGAAGATGTAGGTTTGAGGTGAAACTGTGATTTTTACCTTTAAAACCCGTGGACAGAGAAGAGCTTGCAGATTCGGACAAAGCCCTGTACAAACGATCAGGCATCCCTTTCTGAAGAGAGACATGAGTTGCTTTTTCCACTGAAAACTGAGGTTAGAAATGCAGAGGAAGTGTAAATGCACTGAATGAAAACATGCTTCTAATGCTGCCTCCCTCCTCCTCCTGCAGTGAAGAAGAACATGAAGGGACCCTCCCAAAAGATAAGCTGATCACTCTGTGTAAATACGAACCAATCCTCAAATGGATGAGAAGCTGTGATCATATCCTGTACCAGGCCCTGGTGGAGATTCTCATCCCTGATGTGCTCAGGCCGGTGCCCAGTGAGTATCCTGCGGAGCGATCAGGAGGCCGCAGGCGGTCTCGACTCTCGCTCGGCTCCTGCTCTTTGCCATGTTGCTCCTGAGTCACAGGACATTGCACGTGATGAACAGATCCGTGACTCACTCTGGCTGGCTACCACTTGCCACGAAGGTTTCCACTGTAAGAGCCGATTTAGACGTTTTTGTTTTGAATACAAACTGATGTATTATGGCAACAGCAATCTCCCTTCTCCAGCACTGCTCTGCTTAGATGGTCATTTGTGGCTCCTGGAAATTCCCATGCCTTTTAAAATTTGGTTCATGGCATATCACATCTCATGACTTTGGCTACGAGTCAAGGTAAAAGCATGGGCTTAATGCACAAGCTGTTGTAAGCATGGCTAATCCATGTGAGATGTTTCCTTGGAGATAGTAACTTTGTTTACATAGGACCGCTCTGTCCCTTACTGCACCTCCTGGAAATTTGGGGTAACTTTCATTTGGGAGATTAGTGATGGGATATAGAAGGTTTTCTCTCTGATTTAGCGTCTCACTTAAGTGCATGCACCAGTCTCCCCAAGGATACCACTTGGCCGTAGACTGGGCTGAGCAGTGCTGTAAAATCATGTCCCTCTGAGCTGGTGTTGTCAGTGAAGATGCTGTTGGGCAGAAAGCCCAGGGAGTCGTACTTGGGTTTTGGGGGCTGGGAGGCTGGGTCCTTGGCCAGGGTGTATGTGTCTCTTAAAGAACAGACCCTAACAATCAGGAAGTGCTGAGATGGGCCACAAATAAGAAAAGGAGCTCTTTGAGTGCATTATGGGACCCAGCTGACTCCCATGACACTAAGTTGAGATCTCCGCTACCAGATCAGGGGATGTGAGTCCCGCAGGAGTCCTAGGCTAGAAAGTTGGTGTTTACAGACCATTTGGAAAGGCCCTGCTAACTCTGCAAACTTCTCTGCAGGCACACTGACACAGGCAATTCGTAATTTTGCCAAGAGCTTGGAAGGGTGGCTAATGAACGCAATGAGTGATTTCCCCCCGCAGATTGTCCAGACAAAGGTAAGCAACGGGAGCATGCTGCAGGTCAGGCATAGGAGCTGACTGTGGGGGGTGTTGGCAGTTTTCCACAGTGGTTGGAAAGAAACTACTGGGATCTGGCTACATGTACTCCAGACTGGCACGGCGTAATGAATAGTTCTGAGCCAAAATTAGCAAGGAGGCTGGGGACAAGGACAGCATTTTTTTTTTTTTACCAGAAGCTGATGATGCTCTGTCCACTGAGGCATTCCCATGGCTGCCATTCTTGCAGCCTGTTCCCACCCTGCTGGTCCAGGAACCAGAGTGCAAAAATTTGTTGTTAGTTTAAAGAAAAGAAACGCATAGCCTGGTCTGCGGGATGCGAGAGACACAGCAAAATGTTGCTCCAGAGTGCTGAGATGTGTTTTAGGCAGCGGCGTGGGCACGACTGGGCAGGGTGCCGCAGCTGATGTGGGCTGCATGCTTGAGCCCGGTATCACAAAAAGCCTGCCCTTGGGCTCCATGGTCCCCGTTCACGGTGCCCGCCGTGCTCTGTTTCAGGTCGGGGTGGTGAGTGCCTTTGCGCAGACGTTGCGGAGATACACGTCCCTGAACCACCTGGCTCAGGCAGCTCGTGCGGTGCTCCAGAACACCTCCCAGATAAACCAGATGCTCAGTGATCTCAATCGGGTCGACTTCGCCAACGTGCAGGTGACTTACAGTATCTTTTCTGTCACTTATAGTATCTTTTCGGAAGCCGTGTTATCTAGAACGGGGACTCTTTAATGGGGCAGTTTGCTAGTAACCAGCATCTTATTTCCAATACTAAAAAGCAATTAAATGAACAATTATACATAAGTTTTCAGTGTTACTTTTCCAGCTATGTAGATACCAAAGAATGCTATTTCATTCCGACTAGCAGAGAAGGTACTAAGGAACTTGTATAAGAAGTACTGCAACCAATTATAATATAGTTCTAATAATAATATTGTTCTGTGGTCTGGATAAATTGGAGAAGCCCTCATTCAGAGCTGGTTGGAGTCCTTGCCTACTGGAAATGAAGTTGAATTCCTGGGCTGGGATGCACTAAAAGCTGTTGAAACGGCAGGCTTTGCACATGTAACCGTGAGCCCTTCTTCCCGAGCAGGAGCAGGCCTCGTGGGTGTGCCAGTGCGAGGAAGGCATGGTCCAGAAGCTGGAGCAGGATTTCAAGCTCACGCTGCAGCAGCAGAGCTCTCTGGACCAGTGGGCTAGTTGGCTGGATAATGTCGTCACCCAAGTCCTAAAGCATCACGAGGGCAGTCCCAGCTTCCCCAAGGCAGCCAGACAGTTCCTGTTGAAGTGGTCTTTCTATAGGTACGTTTTCTTTCTTTTTGGCGAGATATTTCTGCGTATGGCTTAGGGCGTGTAGATAACTCCCTGAAAAGCAAAGGCCAAGTTCTTTAGACAATTAACTGGAGGTGCACAGGTATAAACTGCTCTGTCCTGGTACAGAAGAAAGTGTTGTGTGCCCTGTACCTTCATGGGGTGGGGGATAAGATGCTCCATTACCTAATTTCTTAAAGTGCTTTGAGACTCTTGGGTGAGAGGTAGAAACAGAGCACCGTGCGCCATGATACCTTCAGGAGCAAGAATTCACATCAGTCGTGATGCAAATGTAAAACGCATCCCAAATGTTTTGTTTCTCGGCCATTTTCCAGCTCCATGGTGATCCGTGACCTCACCTTGCGCAGCGCTGCCAGCTTCGGTTCCTTCCACCTAATTCGCCTCCTTTATGATGAGTACATGTTTTATCTGGTAGAGCATCGTGTTGCCCAGGCAACAGGGGAGACTCCAATTGCCGTAATGGGAGAGGTGAGACTTGTTTATTCCCTAGTAACAGACCCAAACTAAGCCGCACTTAAAGGGACATCATCGATTCACGAACCGCACTGTACCCTGAACGTGTTTTATAACTGTCTTTGCTGAAGGATTTACTGAGTTGTTTTGAGCGCCTGGTGCAAGGGCCTGGCTCCTTGCACCTCGTCCTTCCTGGCTCACTGATACCGGAGCTGATGGTTTTTGAAGCAGCTGAGCATCGCCAGGGCTCTAGGGGCCTGGGGGAGAAAACAGACCTTCCTGCAGCAAATCTGGCACTTGGCTTGTGAGCAGGCACTGTCCTCCCAATCTGAAGTGCCTAGGCTTAAAAGACTACAGTCAACCTGTGAAAGCAATATAGAAACGACCGTTAGATTAAAACTGATCTCATTTCCTCCTTGCAGTTCACACTATTTTCTTCCTTCTGTGTAGCTCACATAGGGGAGCTAGACAAATCAATTACTGCATTTTGCTTTCTCTTCCTCTCCTGTTAGCCCCACGCTGTTGCATCAAGTCAGCAATGCCGCAAATTCACGCTTATTCTCTGCAAAACCTCTGTCTTTATTGATATTAAAGAAACACAAACGGCAGAGCATGGCTTCTAGCAAAACCTGACTGGGAGGCTTTCATCCTTCAGGCTTTGCCTTTTCCATTAGATTCGTGTAATATTTCTGTGCTCCAGGAGGAGGCTGATTCTTCAGAGCAAAAGAGAATGAATCTCGTCCTTGCATTTCCATTGCTCTTAGTGCTTTTTTACTCCTACTATCTAGGAGTTCTACTGCTGCCCCATTTTGCGTGACTCTGCGTTATTATTCTTAGAGTAGTGTAGTGTTTCAGACCTCATCACAGAGGGAGACAACAGACCTCCAGAACAAAATATATCACCAGCTCTCTGGTTACATTTGGTGCTGTGGTGAGCCAGAGGACTTTCCTGAAATGAATGAAAACCCTCTGCATGGAGCTCTGCAGAGCTGGAATGATGGTAGAGTCCCAGAAGAGGGGAATAGCTGGCGTGTCTGAGCAGTGGCCTGACAGATGCAGAGGGCTGGACAAGAGGCACCATCCATAGTGCCGTGTCCTGGTTAGAGCTCTGCAGCAGAACTGGCTTGGTCATGACCTGGGAGGTAGGAAAATTTCCCATTATTCCAGAGCTAGATTCTGCCCTGGATTTGTGGGTGCAGTGTTTACCGGTCATTTAAACGGGAGCCGCAGACTTGCCCCAAAACATGTTTTTGGTTTTGCTTTCTCCTCTCCACTGCCAGCACTGCTGGTGCTTGCGGTTTCTCCAGAGTGCTTAAACTGCTTGTTAGAATGGCTTGGAAATAGATTACGACTTGCAGGTCTAGCGCCTTGGGATGCTGTAATCCTCGCTTACCCTGAAACTCCTTTCTCTTTCAGTTTGGTGACCTCACGTCCATGTCCCCAACACTGCTGGACAAAGGTACCTCCTCTCCCCTGAGGGAAGTCCTCTTGGGTCTGGGTTGAGCCTGAATCACTGTGGGAGGGGGAACCTTGTGCTGTCTCTTCCGCTCTGCTCTGTTGGGAAAAGTGACCTCTCCCAGTCCGCTGACGACCCTGATGCTAAGACCTGTCCTTTGCAGATGACATTAGTGACCTGGGGAGCGAGGTGGACACAGATTCCCGGAGCATGGGGGAGCCGCTCGTGAAGCGAGAGCGCAGTGACCCTGGACACTCGCTGCAGGAGATCTAAAATGGGGACTTGACTTTTCTCCAGCTGGACGAAGACTTCCGGAGCCAGGTTTGACAGCCTCAAGCCTGAGTCTCCCCATATCTGCATTATTAGTGCCTCTTAGTTTCTCTTTATGTTTACTTCTATTTGAGGAAGGGTTCCTGGTGGTGAGCTGAGGTGGGTGGTGGGAAGGGATTGCAGACTGTCCATGTGGGAAGAACATGCAGGACGCCTGCTGTCCTCCATCTCTCTACCAGTAGAAGCAGCACAACTGGGTGGAGGGTGAAGGTCCAAAGTCTGCTAAAGAGAGAACGAAGCCTCCATGGTTAGCAGTGGATCCCATGTGCCTGGTTAGGAGGAAAGGCTGTGCTCAACCAGTCAGGACGCTTTGGAGCAGCGTGAGCAAGGTGGGCAAATGAGGCTTTCTCTTTCAGGGAAGGTGGTTTGGGTTTCTTCCCCACTTCTCAGACTTCACTGTGATACAAACTTGAACCAATCAGTGCCCAAGAAGAAGGAAAAGTACCTGACCCTTCTCCTACAGTCTTGCAAGACAAGCTGTCCTGGCTCTGACTTTGCCAAATCGTTCGTGCTGAGGGAGAACAGCACAACACGATGTTCTCCTGTACCGCCTGGGGAGCGGGATCCGGGCTGTTCACCACCCCAATCCCTGCAGCGTGGTGCACGAACGCACTTTGGGACTCAAGGACGCAGCTTTCCTACCCGCTCCTGTGTCCTGCCAGCTGCGCTTTTTGTGGGTGATCTGCGAATAATCCCAGGACTCTGTCAGGCCAACTCCAGATACCAAAGGACTCTGAGGACATGGCAGCCGGTCACAAAGCTTGTTCCTTGCCCTCTGATGCCCAGCCTCACTAGAGCATCCATGCAGAGGGGAATTAATCCCACATCCTGGGCTCCCAGCAGGGTTTCCTCACTTGACATCCAGCTAAAATACTGAACATAGGGTGCAGGTGGCCCCGCACGTGGACCCATGGCTGGAGCGTGGACAAGGTGTGAGAGTGCAGTGCCTTAGGGTGGGCCGCGTGCCTGCTTTCCCCGCCGCTCTGGGTGAGCCCGCACCGCAGGGTGTTGCTCAGACCGAAGTCAAAACACAGCAACTGTGTCCCGTGTAGCAGTGAGGGACTCTCCACGGGGGCCCCGTGGCCGCCGGCGGTATGCTCGACACTACAGCGGCGTTTCCCTTTGCTGTATCGCTTCGCCTTTTCCTGCCTTGTCGTTGTGGTGGCAGCTCCCCGCGGGGGTCTCTGAGCTGGGGGGGGCCTCAGCTGTGGTTCGTTCATCCTTTCCGTGCCCTGTAGGTTTGCCCGGTATCACGGACAACAGGGCAGAGGGGGAGTGGAAATCCATCACCAAGCCAAACTGCGACAGCAAACGCAAAACCCCAGTGCAAATCTTTCTGTGAATAAATGCCGTGTCATAAATAGCTTTTATTATTATTATTTCTAATGATGTTTTATACCAGTATTTGATGTGAGCTTTTCCAGGGGCCTCGTGTACATTTGCGTATCAGAGTATATTCTATCTGAATAATAATATTTACTCATTAAAAATGGTACTAAGGTAGCTGTGACACTTTAAAAAAAAATGCTAATGGAAAGTAAAAAGAAAGTGTGTATAGTGGCACATCTTTCCCTCTTACTGTCCCGTGCTGTTGTCTGTCAGGGTGCTGTTTGTCTGTAAATGTCTCCTATCAAAGTCGCAGGAGAGAAATGAGAAAGCTGGATTTATGTTGTAAATAATGGCAGTGAATACTCCCTGGTCCAGAATTCGCACTTCAGATCCTGCTGATGAGATAAGATGGTCTAAAACCAACTGAGCAACCACGTCTTAAATTCCCCTGCTCCTGCAGAGTGTGATATTAACTTCAGCTGGTGCACTGGCTCTCCTTTGCAGCCGCGACCAACCGAACCCAGCCACCTCCTGCTTGCCACGGACGCGCAGACGAGGTGCTCTGGAGCTGTGCAGCACAGTGCAAGGAGTCTGGATACCCGCCCTCAGCCCCATATGCACAAAAATCCCAGCTAAACCTGAATAGCAATAAACATATATCAAATGCTCAGGCCTGTACTATAACTAATTGTTGTGGTCCCGCTTCTTCTTCAGTCACTCAGAAGTGACCCGCTGCTCCGGTGCTGTCCCATTAAAGCAGTTTTGGCCAGGGGTCTGGTGTCTGCACGCAGACGGCCAGAGAGGCAGCTTCCCCATGCAACAGCGGCTGGTTCACAGGGGTAACGTGCCCGTTACGCTGGGCTTTGCCGCAAAGAAAGCCGGCTGAGAGGTCAGGCTGCGGCTGAGCCCAGGGCCACAGGAGGCGTTTTCTAACCACAGCTTCCAGCCTCGCTTGTGGAGGAAGAGGAGAGCGAGGCATGGCTGTGACTAGTGCCGGATCTCGCCTGCTCTAACCCCTCTGAGAAGGGGCATGGTTTAGCTGCTCTCACCATGCTTCCCTCTCCCTCTGGTTTATGCCAAGTCTTGCAAAACCTTTTTAAAGCTTAACTTTGCAAGGAGGACTGGATGAGCCTGCGCCCCTTCCGTCCCGCTGCTGAGCCTCGGGGCCCGGAGCAGACCGCCCCTCTGTCCAGGGTTGCGTCCCCCTTGCTCCCTGCGGTTGCGTGAGCCCAGTGCCGTCAGCGCTGGGCAGCATCTGCTGCCCCCGAGCGCAGCTCCGAGCGCTCCCGGTCAAAACATGCACGCAGCCCATCTTCGGCTTGCTGCTGGCTCCATCGCCCCTCGGTGGGGGATGTCCGTGTAAAGCCTCGGTGGGCGGGGGCGGGGCTGGGGAGCTGCTGGCTGAGGGGGCCGGGATCCTGCACCGGATGGGGGAGCCCCAGCTGGCTGGGAGGCCGTTTGGGCGGGAGAAGACATGCGTGGCCCCAGGGCGGGCTGTCATGGAGCGGTGCGGGCAGAGGGACAGGATTCCTCCCTTTAGTACTTTGGATTAAGCCCTGTAGCATTTTGGTCAGCAGTGGCTCTGCCTCAACTGCAAACTCCGGTGAGGTGGGTCCTTGGTCTGGCCTTGCCACTTCGTGCCACCTCCCCTGTGTGACCAGGGACACCAGGTGGCTGCTCCCAGCTCCCCAGCCAGGCCCTCGGCCACCTCTCTGCTTCCAGGACTTTCTCCTCGTCTCCCATCTCATCCTCACGCAGTTCATGCCAGCAGGGAAAACAGGGAGGTGGGGGGGGTGACACCAAAAAAACCGAGCCGCAAGCGCAAGGTCCCAGAAGTGACACTGGTCCCACCGGTGACATGGTCCCATTGGTGTGACACTGCCGATGTCGCACTGGAGGACCTCTGCCAGGCTCCCCTCCGTGGGCTGCACAGCCCGGGCTCGATCCAGAGCAGCCCCACGTTTCAGGGCCGAGATGGCTCAGCACAGACCTCGGTGCTGCTTGCAGACCTGCAGCCGCGTCGGAAACGCAGTTTCGAGAGCTCAGGGCAGAGGTGCAACGAGCCCACGGTCTCAGGCCACAGGGACAGCTCAGCTAAACCCGCGTGGATGGACGGGCTCCTGGGATCGATTCCTCCAGACGGCAGCTCTGGTTCCTGGCCACCCCCACAGCCCTCCGTGCCCCCGCGCTGCCACCAGCCCCGGCATCGCTGCCCCCAGACCGGCCCCAACACGTCCACGCTGCCCTCCCAGCCCTTCACCTCCTGGTCTCCCCAGCAGGCGCTGGGGACCGTCCCCAGCGGCGCTGTGACACGCAGCGGCTCAACCGGCGGCTGTGTCACCCCTGTGCTCCTGCCGCATCCCTTGCCGAGGCTGTGGGTGTCCTGCCCCATGGCGTTACCCTCCTCAGGCTCCTGCCCCTTCTTTCGGTCCTTCTGGTTCCCCTCGCCGGGATCAGGAGTAATTTTGCAGGAAGAAAGGACCTTGGCACGTCCCTCCAGCAACACCAGGAGTGCAGACCCTGCCTGGGACCGAACGCTCCCTCCACCTCTGGGTGATGTTACCGTCCCTGCCCAAGGCAGGGAAACTGAGGCATGGACTGAGACCATTTAGGGCAGCAGCACCCCAGCCCCGTGGTTTGTGGCACTCAGCTGTGGCTGCTTAACCCACAGACACATTTCACCTGGCCACCAGGAGCTCCTCCGGGGCAGTTCTCTAAATTCCTGCGAGGACCTTTTCTGCGAGGCTTGGGCTGCTCTTATAAACCAGCAGTCTGATAGCTCTGGGGGCTTTTTCTTTCTTTTCTTTTCCCTGTGTCTTTTAGGAGCTTTAGCCTGGAGGCAGGAGGGTTAGTGCCTGTTGCCTGCGGGGCTCTAGCATGTAGTGTTAGGTGCTTCTGCTGTGTCCTCAGTCCTGCCCAGCAGGTAAGGGGGCAGTGACCAGCTCAGCTCTCCTGTCCTTGGGCTGGGGTTTGGGGGCTACTGTTGCAGCAGTCAGGAGGTGTCCCAGCTCTGTCCTTCTCCTGTGCAACGTCCCAGATGAAGGATCATGTCATCGCGTAGCTCTGTGGTGGCCCTGGGGCTCGGTTCCCAGCCTGGCTGCAGCACCCCTCTGCCAGCGCAAAGGAATTCCCTCCCCGCGCTGCACCTCCTTCCGCCCCGGAGCCGCTCGCTCACCCTGCTTGGCCAGGAGGACTTCTTTGAGAGCTTCGAAGGGTAGGTGGTCACCGGCATGGTGGTGCTGGGATGCACAGCAGAAGGGAGGACTAAGTTCCTCCTGACTTGCTTTGCATGTGTCCCCAAATGAAAGTGCTTAACACCTGCCCCTTGGCTGGGGTGGGTTTGAGTTCATGGTCTAGAGCTGGGAATCCCAGCACCTTGCAGGATGTGGGCTGATATTGTTGCCCTGTGGCCGGGGCTCCCCTGGCATCGCTGCTGGCTGCACTGTTGTGGCTGGGACCTGGTGGTGCTGGACACCCCAAAGGCTGCTAGCTCATGCCCGCGTCTCTGATGCTCTCCTCTCAGGAGCTTCTGCGATGTGAACGATGCTTTGGGGACTGATCTGTTCGACTGCAGCTACTCCATCCCTGACCCGCAGCTGGTCAGGAGAATCGTGTCCCAGGTGGAGTTTTATCTCTCGGATGAAAACCTGGCCAAGGATGCCTTCCTCCTGAAACATGTCCAGAAGAACAAGATGGGCTTTGTCAGCATCAAATTGCTGACGTCCTTCAAGAAGGTAGGCGAGGTGTGGGAGCTAGACACGGGCTGCGTGTGGAGGGTTTCTGGTTGTTCAACTATGTTCTGGCTGTCTCGAGTGTGATCTGATGGGAGGTCTGGACCCAACTTGGGCTGTTAGTGTCCAGGTGAAGGAACATCAGGACTGGAGGTGCAGTGCCAGGGGCTGAGCTTTGCCTTAGATGTGTTGCAGCAGTTCTCCAGGTCTAAGCAAGCCCGGGTAGCCAGGGAGGGTGACCAAGGGAAGCAGTAAAGAGTTGGTCCTCAAACCCCGCTAGTACTGAGTCTACCCCTCTGCTAACGCCCCATCCATGAAAAAGCTGCAGGAAAATCCTGTCTGTGTGAAGCAAATGGAAGCTGTGGCTTGTTGCCAGAAGGAGCCACGGTCTGTGGGGGCCTGGGGAACTTCTCACACAGGCGCGTGAGGGACACTTGGGTGAAGAGGGGGATGTTGTCCTGCTGTGACCTAAGTCTGAGGGTGTTGCAGCCTGCCTGGACTGTAAATTTGGGGTGGTCCCTGTCTGGGAAGCCTCAGAGGGATGCAATGGCCACCTCTCTTTTGCAGGTGAAATACCTTACACGAGACTGGCGACTTACGCTCTATGCTCTGCAGTTCTCGGAGCTGCTAGAGGTGAACGAGGAAGGGACCAAGGTGAGACGGAGGATCCCTATCCCCGAATCGCTGCTGAGCATCCCACCCAGCAAGCTGCTCTTGGCCTGGGACCTCCTGCCCCAGGAGCAGAGTGTGTTACCACCGCTCCAGAAGAACTTCATCGAGACTATCACAAGGATGTTCAGCCCGTTCGGCGCCATCGCCTCCATCCGCATCCTGAGGCCCGGGAGGAAGCTGCCCTCGGACGTGAGGAAGTACACGTCCCGCTACCCCGAGCTCCTGACCAAGTGCTGTGCCCTGGTGGAGTACGAAAGCCTGGAGAGCGCCAGGAAGGCCTTTGAAGACCTGAACCACCAGACCCAGGGCTCCCCGGGGAGGGAGAGCATCAAGGTGGTCCGTCTTTCCGGGAAGGGCTCCAAGAAGAAAAGCGGGGCTGAGAGAGAGACGACAGAGGACATGGAGCTCGTGGACAAGCTGGGCTGGAAACAGCAGGCGGCGGCAGTACCCGAGAAGTTTCCGTACGGCCTCGGCGAGTCTCTCCTCTACAGCTCTTCAGAGTCGGACAGCACGCCGGTGTCCCCACCGCTGCTCACGCACAAGTTCCTCTCTGCTCCGGGCTGGCCCAGCAGCTCCAGCTTCAAACCCTGCTCCTACTCGAGCCCGTTCTCCAGCTCCCTCCTGTCCAGTAAAATCTTCCCTCCCCTTGCTGCCGAGTGGGCCCCGCAGCGATCCGACGCAGCCTCCGGCCCCGCTCTGGACCCCAAACCTCCGCCCTGCAATCCTCCGGCGGGGAAAAAGGTGCCCGACTCCTTCGGCCTCCGAGCCAGGGTGATCCGCCTGCCACACGGGCCGGATGGCACCAAGGGCTTCTACAACAGCATCGGGAGAGGGAAACTCGTCCTCGGGCACTAAGGCTCCTTTACTTTGAGTTTTGGGGGGATTTTTTTGGTTTTTGTTTTGTTTTTTTTTCCTTCTCTCAAGCAGAGTAGCTCTCTTCAGAGGGGCCCCTTGGATATCTGCAAAGGGCGGAAGTCCAGCCGGTCGGGGCTCAGAAGAGTTGGGGGGCGAGGAGGATGCTCGAAGGGGGGTCGGCTCGCGAGGTGAGATGCTGAGGGAGCAGATGCGCCGAAGAGCCGCGACTTGCCGCGCTCGCCCAGATGTGACTGCTTCTGCCTCGGTCCGGACCGTCGCCAAACCGTGCGAGCTCGCTAGCTGGGACTACTCTTAACGAAGGGGCTTATAACTCCCAGAGCAAAGGGGTTACTGCTAACGACATGCGTAGCTCAACCTGCACCTACTGCGAGCAAGACCCGAATGGCTCTTCCTCTTCCCGGTCCGCGCTGTGGCCTCCGAGCTCTGGCCATCCGTTGCCCAGGGGCCGGTGCCGCGGCCCCCGGCGCGGGCTGCGGCAGGGGAGCGCGGCGGGGACC